TTAAATGTAAAGAGTTTATGTTGTTTTTTAGTGAAATACCATGAAACTTTGTATACATTTCAGGAATTTTTTTCTAACATAGGAGAGCTAAAAAGATATGTAGTTCATTATGATAAAAATGGTCAGCCAAGTGAAAGTTTTGTACTTTATTCTAATTGTTCAAAATATTTGCTTTCCTTATCTCTCAGCATGGATCACTGGTGGTTTGTTGAAACAATGCCATCTTTTAAAGTAGAATGGTTCTAAGAAGAAAAATGAGGTTTTGAAAGTTAAAGATATTGTAGTTCGAGATTTTCAAAAGGTGAGAAATTGTTTAAGTAAACAAAACTTTATTGGTTTTTTAATAAATGAGACTAATTTTTATATAAGAAAATGATTTTGGTTTGTTTTAGTATTGAAGGATTTTGCCTTTGATTCTAGCATTGTTCCAATATGAGGAAATAAAGGTATTATCTTTTTAAAAGTTTATTTTTTATTTTTTTATTTTTGGTTTCCTTTTTCATGTGGTTTTTTCTATGGGTTTACATGTTAATTCTTATTTTCTTTATGCTCTTTCAGGCTAACATAGTGGCAAAGCTAAAAAGGCGTTGAAACAATCAATAATTCACATAATGGAAATTGAGGCTTCAGGATGTTCATACAATCCGTCATTTGAAAGTCATCAGGTGAATTTTCAAATGCATAATTGCGTATATTATTTTTGTCATTCTTTACTCTACTATTTATGAGGTGAGATTTTATATTTTTCTTTAATCTCAATCCAAGATGCTATGGCTCAAGATGTAGAAAAAATGCAAAAGGTTTACAAGATTGAGTTGGAACCTTAGCCAATTCCATTAACTATTATAGGAGAAGTGGTTAATGAAGATGATGTGAATGTTACATTTAATGCCTCAGATACATTTCTAAACTCTAAAGATTACAATCCCTTGATTTTAGGAGCTAAGTTACGATCCCTTATTCTAAAAGATTTGGTGCTATTGCATAATCCTTGACTTGCTTAAATCATGCTAAGCATTAGACTTTCTAGAAGCCCCCAAATCTAATCCTCTTATAACTATGTTCAGGCGTGCTCACACCTAGGCCCAATTGTACACCTACACCTCGATCATCAGTGCTCTCATCTAGGCCTGACTAAATGCCTATGTCACAGTCTTGAAGTGAAGTCAGGAATCCCATATCGATTCAATACTAGAGTTAATCTTGTGATATAAGGGTTCACACATTTTCTTCCTTATGAGGTATCTTTTGTGAGACAAAATCATGAGGCTAGAGAGGCTAGAGTAGATAATACCTTACAAAGGTGTGAACTATAGTAGGTAGGCTGATTTGAGAAGCCAAAGAAAAGCATGCCCGGTGGGTCTTGAAGTCGACGAGTCTAGAGGTTGAATCTTGACCAATGACAAGTGGTATCAGAACTAACTCTAGAAAGTATTAGCGCTGTGCCATCGAGGATGGTGGTCCCTCATTGGAGCGAGGGAAGATGTCACAATCCTAAAATGAAGTCAAGAATCCCACTCTGGTTGAGTACTAAAGTTGGTTTTAGGATATAAATGTTCACACATTCCTTTCATTATGAGGCACTTTTTATGAGACAAAACCTGAAGCCAAAGGGGTTAGAGTGGATAATACTTCATAAAGGTATGAATCATAGCAGATAAGCTTATTTGAGATGCCAGAGGAATGCATGCTCGAGTCTAAGAGGCATACGAATCTGGAGGTTGAGTCTTAGCTCGTGACACCCGCGCATCGCTCACCAATGCCCACCCTTGGGTTTAGCTCAATCTTGTCAAACCTGAACACACTTCTTGAGCCTTTGAAGTCTTGATTACTATCCACACCATTTGTTTTGTGTTGGTTCCCCATGACCTAGACCTTCAGTGCGCCTCAAGGCCTAATCCTTTTGGTTGTTAAACTTTGTCCCACTAGAAATTGAACTGCTACTCGACTTGGAAAAAACCCTTGTGCCTAAACCAACTTATGGACAGTGACATTGTCTATTCATCTGTAATTTATTCTTCGTCCTTGTAATGTTAAACACTAATAAATTATGGTTATGAATTCTTATGACATTTATTATAAACTTCATAAGTGGAAATATTGACAAAACCATCATTTTTTTTTTTGTAAAAATACTTTATCGAGGCAGATGATGGAAATGATGGTGAAATGAATGAAGAGAATTTGAGTGAGGAAGATTTGCTATTAAGAAAATGTTAGTTAATTTTAGTATAATGTCCATTGTCTTTATTGAGTTGCTTATGTGTTTATATTTTTCTTTGCAAAAAGAAAGTTGACTTTATATTAGATGATCTCCTGAAATAAATTTGTTACTAATAATTACTTGAAAAAAAATGACTATTATCTTTTTGCAATAAACACACATAACACTTTCAAAGTTATTATTTATCGTAATTATAAATAAAATTTATTCATACATGTGTTGCAACTTTAAATTTAACCTAACTATTGTAAATTTGTTATATAAGTTATGTTTTCTAACAAGTTTGTGTTAACTAAAGCAGTTATAGGCATTTAGCTTTCTAATAAGGTTGTATTATTATCAAGTTTTTCTAAAAATAACAATTAATAATGTTAATTTTTTTTAAATTATTATTTTATATTAATTACACATACCATTTTAATTTTTAATTCAAACAAATATCAATTCTATAAATACTAAAAATTATTATATCAGACTGAGTGAAGCTGGGGTCCAACACTAGTTATATTTATATATGAACTCAATTACAATATAGTTAATAAACTTCATATGAGAATAAATAATTTAGATATAGAATATACATACAAATAAACATTCTTTAATTTTAAATGAAATAAACGCTCTTGATACAATTATAGTTTACTTTTCTAAATATATAATTTTTAAATACGTGAATTTATATGAAAATACTGCATAAAAAAACCAAGTGAATAATATATTATTAGAAAAAAAGTACATGATCAAATGTCGCAATAGAAATTTGTGTTGAGCCAAAGTCTCTATCCTTTATACTTTTTTAATTGCAAACACAATCATGTTGAAACAAAATAAGTTGTAAATGAATCGACAAATAAAATATATGTTTTTAATTTATTTGTTTATTTTTAAAGTTGTTTGGAATTCGTTTGAGTTTGATTAGAAAATATATATTATATTTAAATTCGGTTCATTCAAATGATATAATATTTGAGGTTGATTTATGTTTAATTTATTTAAATTAAATGAATTCGATTGTTAACATTAAATAATAATATTTACTAATATATATAAACGAAAATATTGAAAAATAATATATAAATATGTTAATTAATAATAAAAATTATAATCAAACATGAATAGAATTAAAGTAAAAAATAAAAACATAACATTATTATTATCGAATAATAAACAAATATAAATAATTTATAAACGAACAAATTAATAATTATTAAATGAGTTTATTTATCAATTAAACAAATAATTTATTTAAAAAATGAACGTAAAAAATATTATTCAACTAAGTAATTTTTCAGGTGTTTTTGCGATTTAGATTATAGTATCCATTAACTTTCCTTAAAGAATGTATTCATGAATAATTTGCAATTAAACTGATAAAACAATTTTATTACAATTTTTTCATAAAAACTGGAGGCACAATAGAATAAGATAAGCTAATGAAACAATAACAATTGTAAATTAATGTATCTAATTTTCTTTGCAACAATGAAACTCTGAAAACAAAGAATGATCACCACAATAGAAAATTTCCAAAAGTTTTTAGTCTAATATAACAACCATAATAATAACAATTATAGATTGAGATACCTTTTTTTTTTTTTTTTTTTTGCGATAACAAAACTCTGAAAGCAAAAAATGACAACTACAACAGAAAATTTTTAAAAATTTTTATCCAATGTAACAACCATGATATGAATATTTTTACAAGAGAAGATCGATTTTGAAAAAAAAAATAGATTTATTTGTCTGGAGAGAGAGAATTAGAATAACATGGATAACAATGAGCCACCAAAAACTTGATTTTCTTGTAAAATTAATTAAAGAATGATCATTTATATATTTAGGGCTATAAATAGCCAGAAAACGTTTGAAGGAGGAGATTTCAAGGAGAAGAATTTCATAATATTTTGCATCGCTTTGTTTTTGAAAAAAATTAACAATTGAATGTGGAACATTGTTGATATTCAAAGAACTTGAAAAACGAAAAGGATTCATTAATGATAAAAAAATTTTTTTGAAAAAATGAGTTAGAATAATGAAAAAAATCACACACTCAAATTTAATTCAAAGTATAAATGATTTTTTTTTTCAAAAAAAAGTTTAAACAAAAAGGCTTTTTATATTCTCAAAGACCTTAATCTATGACTTTTACGTTTTATGATTTACGTTAACGACGCGTGGCAATAAAATAGGGATTGACAATAAAAATAATAAATGTTAGATTAAACTTAATAAAGAGTATAAATAAATAAAAGCTAAATATATTTATAAATAATTGGTAAAAAATTGTATTGATTTACATCATTAAATCAAAATAGATCAAGTCAACCGAGCCTTAAAAGAATTATTGAAGGCCGATCCCATCGAAAACGTGCGCCAGACTTTCCCACTTTGATTTGACGATGCAGTTTTTGTGGTCCATTTTCTGTTAGACAGTAGATCACAAAGCAATTCTGGTGGTTAAAAAACAAAAAGAAGAGAATACCATGTTCGCTCCATGAGGCGTGTTTGTGTAACCATGCTTTTTTTCATCTTTTTTCCCCCAGAATATATCGTCCCTACAAACACACTTCAACAATCGGTCAACACTGTTCATTAGTCGATTTTCATTAACAACAGTAAGTCAATTAGCTGTGTGGCTGTAAAAACGCTTTCACTCGATTAGAAATGGAACATAATAAATAATAATTGTGATTCTCCAGTTAGAAATTGCCACCTGTCAATTAATCACTTTCATACAAATACTTAACCCTTAAGGTAAGCTATCCCATTCCCACCCTTGTTTTGTCGTTCCCAGACTATTTTCTTTCCTTCTCCTAATGTTCCCTTCCCCAGCCAGACCTACTTCTCCCTTCTAGAAGGTCAATGTAATAATTACATTTAATAAAAGTGATGAAACCTCTACATCGTACCTATAAATGATAACCTCCCCTTCACCTTCTCCCTCGGAATACATAAACAAAGTCTGCTATTTTCTTCTTCAAATTTCCATTTCACCCCACAATGGCCGCTCCCCGTGAAATAGAGGTAACCATCTCCTCCGCCAAAGACCTCAAAAACGTGAATTGGCGCTACGGCCCCTTAAGGCCCTACGTCGTCGTCTGGGTGGACCCAAGGAATAAGTGTTCCACTAAAGTGGACGAGGAGGGTGACACGTTTCCCATCTGGGACGAAACTCTATTCATCCCTCTCCCTGGTTCATTCAACGACGACACCACCCTCTTCATCGATGTCGTCCACGCCGGCTCCGAGGAGGACACCAAATCTCTCATCGGTTCCGCTAAGCTCAAGCTCCGGGAAGTCATCAACGACGCCGGCTTTGGAGAACGCTACAAGAAAACGCTCCATCTGAAGCGACCCTCAGGGAGACCCCACGGAAAAGTTGACGTCAAAGTTTTAATCAGAGAGCCACGCTATCAAGCGCCCGATCCGTACCGTGCACCTCCCTATGGGGTCCCACCACCGGCTTCAAGAGATTACTCAGCAGCTCCACCAGCTTATGGTTACCAATACTCTCAGCCGCCACCGCCACAAAATCCTTATTACAACGCGGCCCCACCAACTGGCTACCCCTACAGTGGTTACAATTATAGTGCTCAGCCTGCGTACGGGCAGGCTCCATACGGTGAGGGAAGTGGTGGGTACTCTGGGCAAGAGGAGAAGAAGAAGAGCAAGTTTGGAGGGATGGGGACAGGATTGGCTGTGGGTGCGGCTGCGGGGATTTTGGGTGGACTCGCATTGGCGGAGGGCGTGGATGCGCTGGAGGATCATTTCGAAAATAAGGTGGCGGAGAAGGTTGAAGATGATATTGGATACGACGATGGTGGTGACGATTTCTAATTTTCTAGACTGTTAATTAATCAATTAATGTAATGGCCAAACGTGGTGTTGGTTTGGTCTGTTGAATGATGTTGTTCTTTCGAGTTGATGCGACTTTAAATATGAGTTTTGGATTCTGGGATTATGGCTAAATGCCCTTCTTAAATTAAAAAAAAAAAAAGGGACATTTTGTCGCGAATAAATCATCCGGGATTATAAGCACTCTCGTATAATCAACAATTTAAAATTTACAGGATTCCTTCTTAAACTCATATTTATAAATTTTAATTTTATATAATTTTTATTATAATTATATAATTATATAAATATAACAAAAAGAATAAGTAAAACGCACTCGTTAAAAAAAAATCGGCAAATATACTTACAAGTAAAGCGCAAGACAAGATCAGCATCCTTTTACTTTCTTTGCTGCCAGAAAGTATATTAAACTATAAGCAGGCGGGGTTCTGGCAAAAAAAAAAAAAAAACTATAAGCTGGCCGGTTGTGCCACGCACGATACCACGAACAAAAGGAAACACTACTATTTCAAAAAATATAATTCACAACAATTTATTTCTTATGATAAGACAGCTGGATCAGTTGATTTAGATAATTCTAGGTTAGTAAATAGTCATTGACAGGATTGGACATAGGAGAACAAAATGGGTGGCAAAAAAAAAATGTGCCTTCCTCACCAATTTGCATAAAACAATAATAAATTAGAAAAAGCAAAGAAAACAAGAGGGACAATTGTTTTTTAAAGATGATCTAAATTATTCATCAAATATTATTCAGTCACATATTTATACGATTATTATTGTGATTTCGTGTATAAAATATTTTTTAATTAGTCTCTCTTCTCCATTAATCTCCTTGCCTTCCAAGTTGAGTTAGGATCCTAATAAAACCTAGAGGGGCCTTGGTCCCCACAAAATTTTAAAATCCTCCAAACTAACACTAGTTGCCCGTTAATAGAATTAAAGAATCTAGAAGTTTTTGCTTTCGCTGGGAATGCTTTATGTTTGATCGACTTAGTTAAGCCACCTAACAATATTAAGCTAAAAACACTCTAAATTCCGAATGACTTAGATGCTGAAAGGATCGTTAAAACATATCTCGCAAAAGTTTTCCTTGGACAGTTAAAACTTAACAATTTTTATATGTATATCACATAAACTATTAAAAATTGGTGTATTCATATTTTATTTTAAGTGAATTTAATAATCGATTTTATTTATGTTTTTATATTTTAAATCATTCATAATTTTAAGTAAAATTATTTATTTGATGTATTATATATGTTTGTACCTTTGTTTATGAATTAATAAAATTTATAATTTTATAAATTATTTTTAGTATATTTCTTTCATATATATATTTATTTTTAAAAAATAAGATTTAATATAATATTAATCGATTCCTCAAAATTAATTATCAAGATCTATCGTTACTTTTGAATACAAGATTTTTTTTTTTATCATTCTTCATTTCCATTTTTTGTTTTTTATGTTATATATATTAGTTTTATTTTTTCTACAAGCATAAGCAAAGTCAAAGCAACTTTGAAACATAAAGGGCCTTCTTCCTCAATGCCCTTTCTATAAACTAAATTTGATATATTTCCTACATTTCATACTTTCTTTGCATGCAGCTCTGAAGTTTTCTGTTTGAGGAGGCAAATTATGAAGAAAAGAATTAGTGCAAGAATGAGAAAGCTTTTTTCATGCACGGGTAAGTAGATATCTCAAAACCCTCCCTTTTTTTTTTTTTGGGGGGGGGGGGGGGGGTGCATGTATGGTTGATTTATTTCATAGGACAAAGAAGTTATATATGGAAGTAGATGTCATAATATATATCCGTGAATTTACTGTTAGATATATATTTAGTAGTCATCATTAATTTTTTTTGTTTAAGTGCAATTAACCACTTAATTGAATTTGTCTCATTTAAATAGAGGTCTTAAGTTTAGTTTAGATATCTTTAAATAGTAAATTTTAATCCACGAAATCAAATTTTAAGTTTGAAAGTATAATTATATGTGAAAAATGTTATAACTCTCTTATAACCTCTATCCAAATGATGATACAAGTTTGATTCAAATTATCTAAGCTTTAAAATATTTTTATAATTTTACCAAATAATTTAATTATTGGAAGTTGATCCTAAAACTACTCCAATAGTTTGGTAGCAATTTAAGATAATTTTCATACCTCATGAGTATTTATGGAGACTAGTGTTTTACTTTAAAGAAGTTTCATTGTCAGATTTATTAATATAATTTATTTAAAAAATAATCAGTAAAATTCTCTAATAGTTTGGTAATATTTAACTTCGATACACATCTCCCGATAGTTTGATGAGATTTATTTAAAAGTCTATTGATAAAATTAAATTTAAAATACTAATTAAATCTTTCATAGTTTGGTAAGATTTAATTCAAAATTTAGATCATTCAATAGTTTGGTAGGATTGAAAAATGTATTATTATTAATTTTTTCATAAAAAGTTTCATTAAATCTTCTAATAGTTTGATGAGACTTAATTTAAAATTTAAATCTTCCAATAATTTGGTAAGATTGAAAATTTTTATTTTATCAAAAGGAAAAAAAAGTTATTATGTAATTTTTCAATAGTTTGGTAGAATTCATAATAAAAAAATTTTTTAAATCCTCTCATCATTTGGTAAAATTAATAAATAAAAAATAAAAAAAGATCCAATTAAAAGAAGTAGATAAATCCTGACATGTATTGACACTTAAAAAAAGTGTCGATAAAACTCCAAAATCCATCAATATAGCACCATAAAACCTATACCAACGATTAAAATATGTATTCCGATAAATTTTAACTTCACTATATCTCTTGTCGGTATAGACCTATACTAACAATTTTTAAGGTGTCAGAATAACTTACAGAGATATACCTATAGTTTAAGACCATCAATAAATGTATATCTATTGGTACAGTACTTGTTATGTGTTTCACCATTATACCTTTTATCGATGATTAACACCCGTCAATATAGACTTGTATGTTTTAATTTTTCTTGCCTGTACTGACAATTGATGCTCATTAGTATAGACTCATATATTTTAATTTTTTTCAACTTATACCGATGCTGTCTCCTTTAGTATATCTTTTACCAATGATCAATGCCTATCAGTATAGCCTTATATGTTTTAATTTTTACTGACGGTCCATGATGGCTATCAGTATAGCCTAAAATATTTCAATAATAAAATGCATCGGTAAAAATACCTTTTTATAAATTTTATTAGGGATTATTAAATGTATTTTTGACCAAAAATACCTTCAATAATCCCTTCAATAATCCCCTCAACAAATTTTTTTTGTATGGATTATTAAAAGCATTTTTGGACAAAAACGCCTTCAATAATCCCTTACAAAATTTTTTGTATAAATTATTGAAGGCATTTTTGACAAAAAATGGTGTTTAATATTCTCTCTCCAAAATTTTTTTAATGTATTATTGAAGGTATTTTTGCTCAACAATACTTTCAATAATCCCTTCTAAAATTTTTTGTATAGATTATGGAAAGTATTTTTATCAAAAAACCTTTAATATTCTCTCTCCAAAATTTTTTAAATGGATTATTGAAAATATTTTTAGCCAAAAACATCTTTAATAATCCCATTTAATTTTTTCTAGGCCAATAGTTTTTTATTTTGAGCCTATAATGACGGTTACATTAATAACCGTCAGTATATAATATACTTATATTGATAGATAGTCATGTACCATTAGAAAAAGTTTATTACCGATGATTAAATAAAGTGTTGGTATAAATGTGATATATTATGACGATATTAAAAATCTATCAATATAAGTCTTTTTTATTGACAAAATTTAATCGTCAGTAAATAATTCATATAAAAAATTTTTTACATGGATTATTGAATGTGTTTTTTTACCGAAAATGCCTTCAATAATCTCTTTCCAAAATTTTTTGAATGGATTATTGAAGGCATTTTGACAAAAAATGCTTCAATATTTCCATTTAATTTTTTGTAAGCTAATAGTTTTTTTTTTTTTTTTTTGAGCCTATATTGACGGTTATGTTAATAACTATTAATATATAACATATTTATACTGATGGATAGTCATATACCGTTAAAAAAAGTTCATTTATACCGATGGTTAAATAAAGTGTTGGTATAAGTATGGTATATTCTAACAATATTAAAATTTCATTAATAAAAGTCTCTTTTATTGACGAAATTTGACCATCAGTATAATCAAGTATCAGTATATAAAAAATATTTTGTAGTGTAGGATTGAAAATTTTTATTCTATCAAAAGAAAAAAAAAGCTATTATGCAATTCTCCAATAGTTTGATAGAATTCATAATAAATAAAATTTTTGAATCTTTTGATCATTTGGTAAAATTAATAAATAAAAAATAAAAATAGATAAATAAAATATTCATATTAAAAAAAAGCAAATAAATGCAGATAAAACTAAAAATAAAAAAAAATCCATTAAGCATCCTAGAAAAGAAAAATAAAGCATATGATTATAAAACGAAATTATAAAATCAAAAAATAAAACATGTGATCTTACCAAATTGGTGGAAAAAGATTTTTTTCAATTATTAGTTCTGTTCCTCTATCACTACAAGCTTTAATGTCGTTGCTTCAATTTCATATTTCTCAAATGCAGTTGTCACCTAACAGACTAACCTCTCTTAATTTTTTTTTCTAGTTTTGGTTCTCTGTCAAAACCGCCAATGACTCTTTCTAATCTTTGTTGTTGTATTGAGCTCCTTTCTGGATTGTTTGCATTTCACCACTTTGACAAAGTCAATATCCCTAGCTTTAAGTTTATTGTCGGTGCTTTTGTCCTTGCTGGCAAAGGTGGCATCAACATGCTTTTTGCAGTACTCGAAAACCTTAGATAAGATCTTGTTGGTTACATTGGGGAGAGGGATTTTACCGTCGGCAAGCCTGAGTCTCAATATTCAAGGGTTTAGACAAAATGAGTCAGGTGATGGTGGTTTCTAGATTGGATTGCGGGGATGGAAGAGATGGTATTGGGTTCAACCATAGGCGTTTGGTGATGGCTTGGCTGACTAGAGGGCACTTGGGATTTTTTGTAAATAATTTCCATTTTGTTAATTAAAGGTTTTTAAATAAGGATTCAATCCCTTTCAATTTTGGAAAAA